TTGTTATTATTTATTTTTAGTTTCTTATTTTTATTTTACCGCCGGGTCGGCGTAGTTTGTGAGCATCAAGAGCACGCATCTGTAATTTCTAAAGTTGAATAAAAAGGGATTTAAACCCTTCTCAAGACTTTGTATACTTTCCAGTTCATAGCAGTCACCACTATTGTTGCATGCAGGTTGGAAGCGTGCAACATTTCAAGGTACTAAGACAATAATGACAGACTTCTGGTAATGAGAAGATACAGTATGCTGCTATTCTTGCACGTTGTGTTGATGGTTCCTTCCTTTGTTGAACTCCCTTATTTGTTATTTTTTAATTGAAAAGTGTTGCCTAAATGTACCATTCCACATGGAATTTATGTTCATGCTCATTCCAAAGGATGGATGTATGGATGAAGACAGAAGGTGTGGTACAGGCATCCAGGTGGACTTCTGAAGAAATCATCTTTATTAGTGTGTTATCAATTTAAGACCCAAATAATAGAGTCTGCAAAATTCCCTGCTATTGAACTAAAGATTATCTTAAAATATAGGCTTCTCAGTTGCAGCCTCTAGATGTTTCAATTATTAAATTATTCAAGGGATTTATGCAGGAAGTTAATTTAGCTGCAGACTTGACATCACAGCAACAGGAAGAATGAAATGGTTGTCAATTTCTACTGTTTGTGAGTAGTTGAAAAAAGGTCCTGGGAGAAATTTAAAAGTGAGATGATCATAAAGTCTTTCGAAAAGTGTGGAATTAGCATTATGCTAGATAAAAATGAAGATGCCATTGTGAAGTACTACTTTATCAGCAGCATCTAGCACATTGCTGATAAAAATGAAAGATGCCATTTATATGAAGACAAATCCAGTGACCGTGTGAATCAAAGTGAAAATAACTGCATCTATTATGTTAGCAACAGTGATGATGAAATGATGAATTTCCTGGATTCCACCATGAATAAATGTTAATACAGTACAAAGTCCGTAATCTGGACTCGTCGAGACTTTGGCGATTCTGGATTAGGGGCATTTCTGGGTTATAGATCATCAATTTAAATCTTGTAAGATGGCATGCAGAAATTATACAATTAAAGATATGAAAACATAATTTATGAAATAAAAAGCAATTATGATCTAAAGGGTATCAAAATTTACAAAAAAAAAAAAAAAAAAAAAAAAAAAAAAGCTTAATATTTATTTGTTTACATTATTAAACATTCATCACTTTGTCATGATCGTCACTTTTAGCATAACGAACCCTTTTTCTGTTAGTCATTGCAAGTGGGGTGTTTGAATCCACAAAATATTCAAAATGTTCCTTTTTCTTTTTGTGTATGTCATATACAGTTGACTTTCCAATGTCATACTCCTCGCATAATTTTGAGACGGATAGGCGTTTATCCATTTTTTTTTGCAGCAATTCCACTTTTTGTTTGATGGACATCGAAACATACTTTTGCTTTGTAGATCCTTTGGCAGCTCCAGAATTCGAAACTCTTTTTGACATAATTGAAAGTTCAAGCTTACTTTTTATAAAATTGCTCTAACAGTCTGCAGAAAATAATAAGCCGGATCCAGTTAGAAGATTAAGGAACAGCGCAATCTGCAACATTAACTGAAATGCCTTAGATAATTTTAGCCTGGCTTATACCGTCCGTTATACATTAAACACACATGTGTAAACGCATTATACGTTTACGCATGCGCATAAAGTTTGTAGCTTTGAGGTCCAGATTATGGACGTCTGGATTAGAGACTTTGTACTGTATATTTTCTGTTTATAAAATGTTATCATTAAAATAGGTGCCTTGATCCGTTTCTGTCTGATCGATATATTAAAAAAAAATTCTAACCTGATAATCTCTTCTTGTTTTGAAAGCCAGGAAAAACAGTAAGTTTTATGTTGTTTAAATTTTCAAAAAATATATGGGATTTTTCGTCTTGCTTTTGTTAATAAACACTTTTTTACCACAAACATTAAATAAATCTACAAATTTTGTATTTTGTTCTGTGTTTTTTCTAATTTCATTTTTATTACTTATAAAGAGGAAAAGAAAACATTTTCATCTCTAGTGCTTGAGACTGTGTATCGAAAATTCTAAAAATATGCTCATTTAAAATTATGTGATATTGCTGTTGAATTTTATGGTTTAAGTAAAAAGAACATGATATTCAATAAATAGTGTTAAAAAAATCCCGTTTGGGTGTAATATAAAATTTGGTCTTTCAGATATTTTTTTTTTTTTTTTTTTTTTTTGTATGTGTAATTACAATTTAAAACTGGTTGCTAAGAGCTTTCTAAAAGAGGATTTTCTGAGGTAAACTGGCTCGTATACAGGTTACACATGGGGAAAGCCACAATAAAAACCAATGTGGCCAGCCTGTTCGCGGGATTCAAACCTCAGACCGAACTACCTGCGTTCAGTGACTCTACCGCTTGGCCACTGTTGGGCTTATTAGCAGAATTATACTGCATTATTTTTGTATTATGTTATAAAATAACAGTACTATAAGACTGAGGGTTTCTTAAAAAAATAGTATTGTTGTGATCTATTAGTGTTAAAAAATAAATGTTTCTTTGCAAGCGTTTAAAGAAAACACATAAGAATTAACTGTTTATAGAAGGGTTCTCATTGTTTCTATTGTAAAAGATATATTGATTATTATTACAGTTTTCTATATAATGTGTCAAAATGTTAAAACGCTGGTTTCATAAGGACATTTTCAAGTGCAGGAGACCTATAATGATTATATTTATTTCAGTACTTCCATTCTGAAAATAATATTACTATCTTTTAATTATTTTCACAGAATAAAATCTTTTGAGAAGGAAGAATATTTAAAATAAGCAGCTCTTATATATATATAAGAAATTAAAATAACAGCAATGTAATATTAAAAAAAGTATTGCTAATATTTGTATGACAAAAATTGCAGTTATTGAAAATTATTTTCTATCATGTTAATTATAGGATAAATTATTTCAAATAAAACATATTGATGCATGTGTGATAGCTGAATGTCGCAGTAATCAACCATACTGTAATGAATGAATGAATTTTATTTCTTTTCCTGAAAGAAATAATTTTCATGGAAAGAGAAATTAAAAGAAAGGAAGAGACATTAAGAAAGAAATATTTTCTTTCTAATTTATTACTGAAGAAGTATTTTTAAAATATTAGCTGTAAAATAAATTGCGTGAAAACACAGCTTTAATATAAGCATGAAAAATAAAAAACTTAGTTTGCAATTAGATTGCAATGCAAATGAATCATATTATAAATTTAAATGATTAAAATTGTTTATTTCTAAGAAGATTTTAAATAAGCTCAATTCATTTACTGTTTATTTACCGTTGCTTTCACGGTATCCCATATCTCTCTGTATTTCTGAGCAGTAAATTCCTGTATTAAATTTTCCCTTAAAAAAACAGGAATTTTCTTCTCATAACACAGCAACATATTCTGCTGCATTTTGGTCATAATACTATTTTGTGCCATTTTTTCGAAGTGCAGCGTGTGTGCTAGTGAAAGAATGGGAGAATATTCCTAAAACTTCAGCCAGAGCGTGCTATAAATTTTGTCACTCTTCTGCACTGTGATTGGTCTAAAGCTCCTTTGACACCTTGTCCCCTTTCAATAAAGTCAAATTGACCCACCCGCCCAACAACTGAGGATCACAGAATGGCTTTCTCTGATAAGTTGAAGATTGCTGTGCATACCGGTTTTTTCCAGTCAGTATTGTTCGCTCAATTAGTAAACGGACCCAGTGATCATGCATCCTGGTGTGCATTTCAAGTGCTTAACTAGGATAACTACGATCTCAGTAAGATGTTACCTATGTTCTGTGAGGTGAATTATCCTCCACCAGAATATATCGAACAACAGACATCAAATTAAAGCTCTGTATTTCTTTCTCACCTCTTGTGTGTGATTAAATTAAAATACACAGCATAAAATTACCTGTCAACCTGAACATGGTTTAAAAACAAAGCTTTTTTTCCAAAACAATTGCTATAAAGTCAACATTATTAATCTAACCTAGGCAGAGGCTACATGATTTCCTAGATTGCCACAAAATTTCGAACAGACACTTGCCAAGCAGGATTTAACTCTAGTCTGAAGTATTCCAAGCAAAAGCAGTCTTTTCTTCTATCAGCAGGAGAGTGAAAGCAGACCTGAACTCTCACATTCCTATTTGTAAAATTTCTTCTCTGTATGGTCAAACTGTTTGCCACTCAAAAACCTGTTGGAGGCATTCAGAAATCTTTGTCTTAATGAAAAGCGTAAACATTACATTAAGACAAAATTTAAAATTGTATGCCTATTATGACTGTATGTGGGCATTATACATATGTATCCATCCCCCACCACCACCACCACTAAAAAAAAAAAATCAGAAAAGGAAGTATCCAGTTTTGAAATTTGTTATGTGTAAATTGGCAAAAATAGTGGTGCAAAAAGGAAAAAATAAGAAGAATTTACATCTCTTATCATCACAGCTCATCTCTTATTACAGCATCATTTTTTCAACATATCTTCTGGTTGATGGCCGAATCTCCCAGTTTTTAATTTTTAGCCTTTACTTTTGAAAGTGTTTTCCAGCAACAAAATTAAATTGTAACCCCCATATTTGTTTCTCAGTTTAAGTTTGATTAAGTGAATTAGTGAAGCTTAAATTGTGCATTTGTATGAGAACAGCCAAAAATATGAATTTGTGGTTCAAGCGCAGTATTGATGTTATTATTTATTATATATGTGGTTTACTAAAATAAATAGTAACTTTTTTAAATGCTATTAAATGAGATTTCCATTTTTTTCTGAGAGTATTATATATTACCTTAAAAAAAAAAAAATTTTCTTAGAAATTTGTGTAAAATAACATGTATTGGAATTTTTTAATACTGTGATTTTCCAATCTGTATTAAGTTTCATAATGTATCTCTTCATATTATTTGCTTATCATCTAAAAGAACTTCAAAAAGTTGTGTATAATGCTATAGCATTTTCTTACAGTTGCAAGCTATGGAGCACATGGAATGTGATTATATTAAATGGCTTGATATGGCACAGTGTTCACTAGAAGAGCTTAGTGTTAATCTGCAAAGTGCTGAACGAGAATTAGTTCAGTGTAAAAATGAACTTGAAACATTGAAAGCAAATCATTCTGTGTTAGAGAAGAAGTATAGTAAAGCCAAAAAATATATCAAAGAATTCCAAAGGAGGTATGTGAAATTTAGAAAATTGTAATTTATTGTTTTTTAAAACAGTATAAAATAGATAAAGCATTTAATTTATTACTTTTTCTTTTATAGAGAGAAAGAGCTGATTCAGTGGCAAGAATATCACGTTCAGCAGTTACAAGAAAAGGACCAAGAATACAATGCTTTAGTAAAAGTTCTCAAGGATAGGGTTTGTTATATTTATCTACTTCAATTAGTCTTTTACGTCTAGTCACTTAAAAAGCATTCCCTAATTTCATTAAATTCCATCGAAGCTTTTTAAATTCTTGGTTATGCAAATGGATAGTGGTAAATACACTCATGTCCAAATTTATCTTTACATACCAAAAAATAATAATATTCAATGAAACATCCAGTCAATGTAATTCATTTTTGCAGGGAATTTGTGAAACACAAGCCTAATTAGCATTATCCAATCAAAAGTGATCAATGGTGTCTGATATGAAAAGCAAGCCATTTCATTATTTGACTGTGAATCAAGTGCTTTGCACAAAGTGAGTATCTGAGTGAATTGCTGCAATGGAGCATTTGATTTCAATGTATAAGGGCTAAAGATAGTTTTTTGTGACTTTGAAGTATCATTTGGGAAAATCAGTAAGTTAGGAAATATCGGCTATTTAGAAGCAGGCCAGACAATTAATTATGGAAGCAGTGAGATGTGTGAATATTTGAAGACAGCTTTAATGATATGGAAACAATGTCAGAACTCTGTTGTATTGAGGCCTGGGTAAATCCCTAAATGAATAGTAACTGTTTCTCAAGTTTGATATCTGGCAATAATAATAGTTCTGATAACTGCATGTCATAACAGTCTACTTATTCTGCAGTTAAATTCAGCTGCCACTGGAACTGTTTTATCATGGCAAATATACAACAGAAGGCTTAATGAAAGCAAAAGGTATATGTTTATGTCAGAAAGCAAAAGGTATATGTTTCACTGGCTTTACAGCCAAAGAGGGATTGCTTTAGTTGGTACAAAAAGCATCAGAACTGAGTGAACATCAATGATCCCATTTTCTGTTTACTGATGAGTCAAGGTTTAGTTTAACATTTGATTCTAAATGTGTTTATGTCTGGAGGGAATCAAGAACACAGAATCTTCCTTCTAACGTTATGCAACATGACTGTTTCAGTAATGCAGATGTTATGGTATGAGGAACAATAATGATCAATGGGTATATCCCCTACATGTTTCCAACTGCATATCTATGACAGCCAGAGATACAGCTACAAGTTTATTTGTTTTATCTGAAAGGGCTTGGGCAAAAACTTTCAGGAGATAGAGATGTTGCAGAGGAATTTATTGATATTTTTTCTGTGTTGGTGGCAGAAGAAAATCAGCCCAGAACACATTTTTAATATGGGTTAGTTGGCCTTTTTTGGTAATGTTTGCCAAGAAAGACATTTGTGACAAGCAAAGAAAGTGTGAAAGAAGCTACAGAAAGCGTTACTATTTTAGTATGCAGCAATGCAGCTGGAACGTGCAAATGTAAACCAGTGGTAGTGGATAAGAACACCAATCTCAAAGCCCTAAAAGGAGTAAAATCTGTACCCATGGTTTACAGGAATTATAAAAATTCCTGATTCACGAAATTATTTACGGCTGAATGGTTCATGGAATATTTTGTTAAAGAGGCTAGAAAGCATTGTAACAGTGTGAGATTACCATCAAATTGCAAGATTTTAGTATTGTTAGACCACTGCTATGTGCATCCAGATGCAACCATTTTAACATGTGAGAGTGTCATGGCCTCTTTCCCCCCCCCCATCATTGATTCAACCATTGGACCAGAGCAGTATTAAATACCACCACAAATAGGAGTTTCTGGAGGGATTCTTTAAAGAGACTATTCTGTTTCACTTTGTGATTATAAAAAGCAATATTTCATCATCAAAAATTGCATCTGTTTGCTAGCGGAATCATGGAATTCCCTTTCCCAAACAACATTAGTAAATGGGTAGCATAATTTATGGCCATCTCCTCTGTTTATTAAAATATTTAAAATATTTATTTTCTGGTTTTGGGGTCAGTGAAACAAAGGTTAAAGCAAGAGAATTGCTTCTGTATTCAAAAGAAAGAAAAAACGAGAAGGCTTTAAAAGAATAAGGTGCATTTAAATGGATGATGTGTTTAGATTACACATCGTCAACACTGCCATAGCAAATGAGCTGAGGATGAAATTATTGGCTGTTTTGAACTTGACACAGGAAGAAAATGATTCCCACACCGACATAGACAGTGAATTTGATAGGAGTGAGAAAATATCTTTTAATGAAGTTTTGAAACATGTGAAAAATGCCTAAAATTTTTAGAGCAACAGAGCTGTGTCATAAAGCAAGAGAGTTATGACTCATTCTGATATAATTAAAAAGAAAAAATCAACTTACTCTGTAGCCTTCTAAAGTTTTAAAACAAAAGTGCTTGAAACATGTAAAAGAAAATGAAATATTTTATGCCTTATTAATGTCCCTTATTATCATATGTCCTTAATGTTTAATATTTCTTTTATTGCATATGTCCTTATTTATTTTGCACTTTTAGTCTAAATATTATGATTTATTTTTTCTGCCCTGAAATCGGAAAAATCCTAAAATTTACCACAACTCCAAACAATGCAGATTTCTGGTCTTCTCCCTGTGTAGGATTTACATATAAACTATAGAAGTTATAGCTTAGGGCTCCCACTTTCTTGGGGCCCCCCAAAAAATTAAAATATAGTATTAAAATATAATATAACAGACTTACAATGGGCCCTGTATCTCGATTAGCTCAGAGCCTTATCAAGTTTAAATCCGGCTCTATTTTCTACTGTATTACCATTTATACTGTTTCATGTTACAGTTTTATATCATATGCAGTGCTCTTGGACTTGTATTATGATATTATGTATCATTCCACACAGATTTATGAAATTATAATTTACATTTTGTGAGAAATCCACGATTTCATGCATGTAAAGAAATTTTGGACATGAGTATATATTATTAAAAAATGCTGTCCCAGTGTTTTAGATACAGTTTAAAGAATTAACTATACCAAGTATTTTAATAGTGCCCTGTAAAAATAAATAAATACAAATAAAATGTTATATATATATGGGATGAAGAGCTAAAAGAATAGATATTGTGAACATTTTACTAGTACCTTAAATTAGTAAATAAATAAAAAAAATTACTATTTTGCATAGATGAGCACAGAAGATGTTTGCCTTCATGGCTATTTTCAACAGTGCATTTAATCCTCAAGCTGCATAGTTTCACCAACACGTAGATGTTTTGAATAAATAACTAAGTTAGAATTTTTTTTTTTTTTTTTTTTTTTTTTTGGCAATTTGTCCTTTAACGGGTCAGGTGCCTTCTCAGAAACTGTTTTATTAATAAAACTTCTATCAACTTCAGAATGAATTTACCCTCAAAAAAATTTTTAATTTGAATGTAATCTCTTGGACAACAGCCGTCTGTTTGCAGCACATTGATGTTCTTTTCTTCCTCACAGACTGGAACTGAATTAATTTGTAGTTTTATATACTTAGTATCATATAATTAAACTGCATTTTTTATTAATTAATTATATAATAAGCTTTTTATTTATTTATTTATATAGCTTTTGATAGATTCATTGCTCCGTAGGAATATATTGGTCAGTATCTATGTTTGATGATCCATGATAAGTAGTTCTGCTTATCTGCATGTATTATTTATTTGCTATGTAAAAATAAAAAGGGAAAGCAGTTTTTTATCAACAAAAAATGTTTCTAATGATGTATATAAATCTATATTTAAACATATTGAGTCAACTGGAAAATTTCATGCTTTTTCAAATCAAAGCATATTTTATTCTAATAATTTTGTTACTGTTGCTAAAGAGTGACCTTGATCGAAGCAGATATTTAAATATGGTCATTTCTGCCCATTTTTTCACATGTGGTGACATAGTTTTTGTTTCTGTTCTGTGTTTAGAATGGAAAATTCGAAAGTTCATTTTCATCATAGTATGCTCTTTTATTTAAAAGAATGTGCTAGTCAGACTGCTTCTAAAATATTTATGGCATGTGTGCAAAGTGCTGTTTTTGATGACGCTGTTTGAAGGCGATGTAAATTTCAGCTTTGAAAATGTGTCTGCTCTGTGGATGACCTTTGTCTAAAAATAAGGAACTAATAAAAGTAGCTTTCTCTGAAAATCCATATTATGTAGTTCAAGAACTGTCAGGCAGGTTAAATATTCTAAAAAGTACAGTACATGATTATTTGAAGAAATAAGATATGCAAGCCCATATATGTGTACCCCATACTTTAACAGAGCAGAATATACTTGCATGAGCTTTGGCATTTGCTGAAAAGAAAAAAAAAAAAGTTTTATTTTTTCTTTCTTTTTTTTTGGGGGGGGTCATTACTGGAGAGGAGAAGTGAGTACTTTACAGTGTTACAAGAAAACAGTCAGGGAGTGGGGGGTAACCAAAATGAATCACCTTTAGTAATAATAAGATGGAGACTATATATCATTGCCACCAGATCAGGTAATAAATTCAGAAAAATATGGTTCCCAGAAAACAGTTTTAAAAGCAGAAATTGAAGAAAACACTCAGAACTAATCAACTATTCAGGTTTCATCCATCATTTTAATGCTGCACCCTGAATTTTGATTAATCCCAGGAAAAAACTTAATGGGGGTGTGTGTTTTCTGTCATCCTCCATATTCACCAGACCTTGCCTCCATGGTTTTTCATCTTATTAAGTCACTTCAAAACTGTCTGGATGGCCTAGAGTCCACTTCTTTAGAAACTGTCAAACAGCACTTCAGTAACTCGGAACTTTTCAAGGTGCTGGGAGGACTGCAAAAAGTCAGAACAATATGATGATTATATTTTTGTGCTGCTTCATTTGTATTTATTATAAAATAACTGATATGTACACCACATGACTTTCTTGTATGGAATATTGAATTATATGCATTTTCTCCTGCATATCATTTAAACTTATTTCCTCAAATTTCATTAGAGATATATTTCTCTTTCATTTAATTTAGTTCTCATTTCGCAGCAAGGCAAAAATACATAAAAATTCAAAATATCTTCATTCAAATTGAAAAAGATATAGAAAAACATAAAACACCAAATACAGTTAAAACAATTAAAGAAAACAATTTTTACGATTAAAATTCAGCCAGCAGGCAAGAAGGCAGATTTTTCGGTGCACAAAACTAAAATTTTCCTTTTCGTCCTACTTGGCAAAAAGACACTGAAGGTGCAGAAAGACTTAATTCACTATTCTGCTAAATTTCAAGTGTAAACAAATAGGGCTGCTATGGTAAGAAAAATTAGGCTTAGCCACGCTTAAACAACTTTTAAATTTTTGATAGTTCTACAGCTATTGCATGAAGATTAACTAAAGGCAGAAAAACCTTAAACGGAAAATAAGAAGAACAACATAATTCAATAATTTTTAAAGCAAAAAAAATGCACAGTTTACAAACATATAAGAATAAAGAAACTGAGCTCACTGAGACAAGTAACAGAGTGGATATATAGATACATATATTTATATACTTTTGGTGCGGCTAATTGCAACCAAAATAGAGGTGCACATCTACATGTTAATAGCAGGCCTGTATACAAACTTTCAACATTCTGAGGCTAATTGTTTTTGAGTTATGCGAGATACATACGTACAGAGGCCATGAAAAAAATCTCTTCGGAATCCACTTTAAATCAGTTTTATTATTTGTTTGTGAAAAAAGAGTCCTTTATTCTGTCCTTACGTACAGATGTTACACAAAAACATAAATTGCATTTGATAACGGTCAAAATGAATATGTACATTGAAATATGATACTTGGAATTTTTCATGATTACGATACTTTCTTTATTTCACACAAGGAGGTGAAAAACTGCAGAACTTCCCTGGTGACCCGATAGAAAGGTTTTGTATAAACTCGCTGTTTCTTTTTTTTTTATAGCCATGATATACGAGTTTCATTCTTTGAGTATATAAAATTTATAAAGTTTGAAACTCATAAATGTAAAATTGAAATTATAAAATGTACTTATGTTTATATTTTAGGCAGTTTTACAATGAGGTTATATTAAGTATTTTATTTGTAGGTCATTTTATTGGAGCAAACTTTAACTGAAACCCAAAAAAGAGCTGGTCTTCCAGTTGGTCTCCCGTACAACACTCCCTTGAAGCAAATAACTCCACAATGCAGAAATCTTATTAGTCCTCCCAAATTTATGAGTAGGTTCCCACTTTAATATTCTCATCAAAATCAAAATTTATCTGTTTAATGAATCTGCTTACAATTTAGTATTAAGTACCAATTAATTTCTAAATGCATGATTTTAGAAGCTTAGTTATGAGATTTTAAAATATGTATGGTCGTAATTTTGTAATCGTAAGTGATTACTGTTTATTATGAAAAGAGGGGGAGAAAAATAAAGTTTTAATTCATTTATTTGCTTTGTAGTGTACAAATATAAAAAAAATTAGCTCCATACTATTTTTTCTGTAAGTTCGGGGAAATTTCATAATTTAAGCATTGATTGTATGTGTTATTTATAGTATGTGTTAGAATGATTCAGGAAGTTTCGATAATTTTTATTTAAAAATATTCTGATTTTACCTAAATAAACACAAGTATTTTAAAAACAAGTAATTTATTAGTATCAGTTCATCATTAATATCAGTGCTCTGGTTAGCTAATAATATATTTATAAAGGCAGATATTTTTAAGAAAAAAATAAAACTAATATTTTTAGAGATATTAAGTAAGTGGGTGTTAGAAATATGTAGTAATGCTTATTAATCTTAATAATTATTAGATACTTACATTTTAGCACTACCATCTTCACACAATCTTGTCGTGTGCATTGGTGACTTATGATATCAAAATAGTATTTATTACCTACATATATTATGTTTTAATTAGGTATTTATCTCTAAAGTCAGCCAATAAACCTATTTATAATTTTGAGGGGGGAGTGCGTGCATGTGTTTGGACAGCGGAAATTTTCATCACTTCTCGACTCAAATCAATTTCAGAAAAACATCCAAAAATTATCTCTTTTTTTTATTATAGAAGTTTAAAGAAAACTACATTTTTTAGATGAATTAATTATATGTGAAAAATCATTCATAATGCCAAATATAAAATATATATATAATATACAAAGAGAGAGAGAGAGACATTTAAAAATTACAATTAGCCCTACAGTGTTGGTTTAAGACATGTATGTAGTAATAAACATTTTACATAGCTTTACATTTTGTATACATTACACATCTGGAAATTTTAGCTGCAACTTGATATTTCATCTCGGTATGGTCTATTTAAAGCAAGAAATAGTGAAGAAAGCATATTTTTTGGTATTTTTTTTTTTTATAAAAAAGGAAACTTTAAAAAAAAATTAATTTAAAAAGTAACGTAAAGGTTTTATAAAGCTTTTATATTTTTTTATTTTTTTAAAACTTTAGTTAGCAAAACCTTCAGCATATACAACACAATGTGTCTGTAAAAAAGCAGATATTTCTTCATTAATTGAATAGCCCCCCCCCCAAAAAAACCCATACATTCTTTTCTTTCACTCAGATTATGCCATATAGAAACAGAAAAAATGAACTAAAGGAATGACACTGACTATTCAAAAACTAAAGCTTTCGAAATTAGATCCCCGTGCCACATACTGAAAAAATCAGACCATGCAAAAAATTTTAATGTACAGGTAGAACTGTCAAGCTGCTAAGAATAAGTTCAAAGTAGTTGTTCCCTTTAGCGATTTCAAAGCAAAATGTTGCATATTTTTTTCCATTTCATGCAAATTCGAGTATTGCTTAGTTTAAAATTGTGTGTGAAACAAATATTATCACAGTTGATCAAGAAGAGGGGGGGGTAAACCCACTTGGGACTTGCAAACTTGCAACAAGGTGAAACAAACACAAAATGAAAACATTGTTAAAAACAGAAGAATATTATAGATGTGGTTGCTTGTTGCTACTGGTGCTCTTACATGCGTAGTTGCTAAAATTTAGCACACTCTGAAAATTTAGCGAGTTCTACTAAGGTGGTTTCTGTTAATATTAAATAGCACTCTTCATTAAACTAAAATTCTACTAACTTTCTCAAAGGACATAATATACTCAATATTCCATCAATAAATAGATTATTATTTTATTACTTTGCAGCTTTTATGCAAATATTAGGCAATTTATTACATTTTATAATATTTACTTAATTATTTTAATTCAATCTTTGATATATATATATATACATTTCATCACAAACTTAATATATATCTAACTGCTATGAAAAATGATATATTCTGGACTAAGTTGTACAGAAGAAATAAGCAACCAGACAAATTGTGACGCAATAACTGCCAATCTAAGGGTCTGTTCTCTGGCATCTGAGAGGGAAGGCTGTAGGTTATCAATTTAACAGGGCCATGCACTTCCACCAAACAAGTAGAATTGTGTCTCCACTGGTAAACAACTGGTATAATTGAGTCACCGATTTCACGAATAATTAAACATTTAACAACCATAGAAAAAAAAAATTTTTAAACACTTAACAGTGCCCTCTTAACATTGGATAAGAAATCCATTTGTTTCTTCTGACTTCTCCAGTTTTACTCTGAATGAAGAAGAAAATTAACATTGCTTGCTTTAGATCATGGTTTAAAATTGAAGTTCATTGAAAGTATTCCTGAAAATTCTGAATCTGTTTTAAAGATGAATACTTATGTCTAGCAAACAAAGCACTCAGTGGTGTAGCTAGGATTCCAGTGCCCGGGGACAGCTGAATAATTTGCACCCCTTTCTGTGTGCCAAAAATAGAAAACATTTCATTAACAAATTTTGTAGCATCAATGGGCACCACCTGGATGCTGTGCCTGGGGACAGATATCCACCCTTGCCCCACCCTAACTACGCCACAAAAAGCACTAAACATATTATTATTTGTATGTCATATTTGCAAGACAGGATTTTTGATGATGGTTAATATTAAAATTAAAAACACAAAATTCTGCAAAATTGAAAGAGATGCAAGTGGTTTTATCATTTATTCATTTGAGTATTGCTGAAATTTGCAAAGATAACTGAGTTTATGTAGCCCATTAAATTTGAAAATTTTTTAAAAGTATTATAACTTTAAGTGATTTTTAAGTGAATATGTTTGCTTCGATCAATATTGCTATTTTATGCTTCTATAAAATTAGCATTTTATAAAAGCAAGGGTGGTCAACTTCATGTCCACAATGTACCCATGACACAGTTATATTTTTTTAGCCTTCTCCAGTAATGGAGTTTTTTTTTAAGCAATGTCTTTTTTTTTCTTTCAGTTACACTATTGAACTCAAAATGGCTGTTGGCCACTTCTACTTTAAAACTTAACATTGTATTGCAAGTGTTCTGCACAAATTTGTTAGAGTTTAGTGTTCTTTGGCTTAAAAAAAAATTGAGAACCAAGGTTTTAGGTTGAAAATTTTAGGGTTATTTTGCGTTGAATTGAATTTGTAACCATGTATTTTTAATTTAAGTGTTTATCTCTTATGTAGAATTTTAGGTCCCTCCATTTTGGGCCCCTTGAATATTTGTCCCTTCAATATTGCTTCCATATTTTATGATAACTGAACTTTCCATGTAAAGTTCTTCTGCTTGATTACATGCGTAACCTGTTATTTGAAGCATGATCATCTTCTGTTGTTTCGTTCTCTGTAAGGATTTGCTGACAAGTTGAGGAATACTCCATGTCTGGCTTATATATCCATTTAGTGAAACATTTAAAAATCCTATCTTGAGAGATTGTGCAAATTGTGCTTCTTGCTATTTTTAACCATCTTGATAAAAGAGCATTAATAAGATCATATATATATCAGTAATTTTTCTTAGAGCATAGACAGTGGTACAGTAGTCGTAGTCCCAGTCCCCTATATACGGATGAATTGAAAGCAATTGATCATGATAGAATGTCTTCCATAACTGAAAATATGATTGGAAGACAACTGCATGATAATTGTTAAATCCAGACATCTGAAGTGACTTTTGTTTATGATGCACTTTCTTCTATATATAGGCTTTTCCAAAGAAAGTAGATTATTCATTCTGACTCATTTAGTGCTCTAAAACCTTTAGAAACATTCTCTGATGCACAGAATATGTTAATTGTTGAAGTTCTAAAGTTGAATAAAAATCATGGATACCAAATTTTTTATTGCTGGATTTCCGAGCTCATAGGAATATAATGTAATGAGCTGGCGGATATCGCAGCCAAAGCTACTGTTGAACAATCCAGTCAACTCATTTCTTTTAGAGACGTGAGCAAGGTCATCAAGCAAAAAGTCTTATATAAATAGCAAGCAATCTGGGATGCACAATTAAATAAGTTGAAAAGTGCGAAACCTAGAGGGGAATTTTGGGAAAGTACTGGAAAGTGGAGTGAAGAAGTCCTGTCAACTCATTGAAGTAAGAATAGAAGGAGGTGCCAACCTTACAGTGCAGTGCCTCCAAGCTTGACACTGTGCTTCCAAGCTTTGGTCTCCAGAGGGGGAGTTTTTTTTACATCAAAAGCATCCTTGATAGCAGTTTTGGTAGTAATTCCACACAAGACAAATCCTTACAAATAAAAAAAACCTTTGCATAAAAGAAACATTAATTGTTGGATGGGTAATAGCAATTTGTATAGTTTAGTGGCTTTTATACAAAAATCACATTTTGGTTATTTTTCGCTTATTAAGAATTTGAAAATAGGGCTATCAATGTAGGTGAAAACATTTGTGTATCCTATCGAAGGACGTCTTATCATGCCATCATATTCTCTTATTGAACCCAGATCATTAAATGTTTCCCACACAAGTGAATGCACAGAATTTAAAGATTTTTACACACAGAAAATAAAAAGTATTTAATATATATGGGTATTTATCCATATCTTTGTAAAAAGCATGGATTTGCTTTTAACAAAATACATAAATATTTATTAAATTATTTATAAATAAATTTGAAAATGAAGAATTTATTTATTCATAAACTCCTGTGAATATTACTGTGAAATCTAGTTGCTAAATATATCTAAATTTATAATGGTTATGAATATCATCTAAATAATAACTTTTAAGTCTAAAAATAAATTGAAATTCTGCTTAAATAGTTTCACAAACTATTTAAGCAAGAATTGCTCCTGCTAGAAAGCAATCTGTTAAAAAATGTTGTAAAGCATAGTCTGTGAGATGCATACTTATAAGGAAGTAATAAAGAATAATTTTTAGAATATGTGTTGTTGAAATTAGGAGTAAAATATATATGTGATAATAAAAGCAAAGGAAATAACGGAGCAGTGTAGATGCATGATTAGATCCATATTGAAGAAGAATTTTGATTGCGTGTATTTAAAAGAACTTGGCATCGTCGAGGCATTTTTAATTTCCATTTTTTATTTCCAATTGATATTTGTGTGGCCACAATCACTTGGCTTTCTAGTCGGCCTTTCCACAGATTTTTACATTTTTGATATTGTTGGGCTAGAAAGCAGCCAACACGAAATTACATCTTAGGACAGTAAGAGCAAAAGCTGAAGTGCGTAGTTATGAAAGATGGAAAGTACGTGAAGAGAAAAGTTTTGGTTTTACAAGGTCAGTTTCAGTTTCTTAATTATTACGTTCAGAGTTTGCGGGTTGCGGGCCTAGAGTGATCTAGAAATGACGCAATGCAGAGAAGTTATTACGATTTTAGAATAAAGAGGAAGAATTAATGTTTTAGTTATTTATTCTGATTCATATAATTTTATCTTACATATTCCCCCCCCCTTCAAAAGAAAAGGTATAGCGACAGAGAAGCCTTTTGAAAGAGAAAGAGTTAAAGCACTAGCAATGTAAAAAAAAAAAAAAAAAAAAAAAAAAAAAAAAAATCGTAAAATTTTTGTCCTGTAAAGTATAATTTATAAATCAATTTTTTTTAAATAATTTTTAATTTTTAGAATCCTATTGAATTTTTCAGCATTTCAGTCCAAAAAAGTCTTTTTGTTTGAGAATTCACATAATCATAAATTCTTCAGGGAAGGTTCTTGTTATTACAGAACATCACAAAATAAACTTTTACACAATCTGGGAAGGTTCTGTATTACGAATATCACAAAATAAACTTTTACACAATCATTACTTATAATAAAATGTAATGCACACACATATTTATGATACTTATTTCCATACTGAAAATTATATTTAATATCATAAATAATAGGATTAAGATTTTCAGAATTTATGGTTTCATTCACCGTTATCATCTTTCATTTACAATTCCTGATTTTTTCCAAACTGGAAACCTTGCAATACTTCTAACAAACATATCCATCAATAGGGCTGTCCTCTTGAGCTAACCAGGGTTTCTCTGCACTGGTGGCCCAGGTGCCTAGCCAGTTACTACTTGAAAAGGCCTCCGTTCCTTTCATTAAGGTAACTGGCCTATGAGAACTGCACTAATACATCCATAATAAAAAAATATAATAATAAAAAAATTTCCATGCATTCATAAAATGAGAGCCTCCAACATTATCTTGCATGAAGAGCGTAAAAGGAACAACTGTACAGAGGTAATTACAGGCCTCTGTTGAAGGAACCAGTATACCCTCATCATACTATACTTAACACACACAATAGCCATAAATTTTAACATGCATTTACCATAATTTCATATTACGTATCTGTAATAATTTCACTTATTTTTTACACCTACTTATTTTTAGAATAATTATAAAATTCGTATTCAAATGCAATTTCAACAAAATTTCAAAAACATAAAAACTTATCTTATATCCTTCCCTATGAATAATTTAAATAGCTTAAAATTCGTTACTTAATTTGCTCACACATAATTATGAAAAATTAGAAAAATTAATGAACAAGAATTTCAGATTTTCTCAAAACAAATTGCAGAAATTTTAACCAATGTTGAAATGAAAAACTATAGAATTCGCAAGCACATTAAATAATTTAGTTCCTGAGCTAGGTTCAAACGAATGTAATAATTTTTGAGCTGTTGAAAAGCAGAAGTGCAAATAATTTTCTGTCGCACATACTTGGAAACACTAACTCAGATCGACCTTGAACCCGCTGTAATGCTTAATTCCTAAACGGTAATTCACTGATGATTTCCTTTTCACTAGGCATTCGAACTTCTCAATTTATCGAGAGATCACTTTCAATCTGTAAACACTACGTGTGATTATTTTTTTTGAAGCACTTGCAAAACACCACAGCAGAAGAATGATCTGTTGTTTTTTAAACACTGAAAAAACAAACTTGATGATTCACTTCTTTCACATTATCTTGGATTTATCACAAAACGATGATTTGAAGAGCTGAATTAAATTTTTCCATTGAGGTTTCAGGCTGCAGGAAACTATCCTTACCGGCTTAATTGTCATAATAAAAGCAAGGAAATGATGGAACACTGTAGATGCGTGATTAGACCCATATTGAAGAAGAATTTTGATTGCGTAGTATTTAAAGATTGGCAGTCGAGGCAGTTTTAATTCCATTTTTATTTCCAATTGATATTTGTGGCCACAATCACTTGGCACTAGTCGTGCCTTTCCACACAAGATTTACATTTTTATATATTGTTAAGATAGAAAGCAACCAGCGAAATTACATCTTAGCAGAGTAGAGAGGCAAAAGCTGAAGTGCGTATTATGAAAGATGGAAGCACGCGAAAAGAGAAAAGTTTTGGTTTACAATTCGGTGATTGGTCGAGAGGGATCTGCATTATGGGTTAAGTAAGATCGCATGATTAATTTGAATGATGCAGTTTAGACTTAAGCGCTTTTTATCTTACATTATATATATATATATATATATTATATAGGTATAAACATAATTATTTCCTTACGTTTTATTATAACTCAATGATGAAGTTTTAAACAATTTAAAAAAAGTTACATATTTCACTATTAAATAAAAGGTACTGTAATTTGAAGTGAATCAAACAGAGCATTCATTATATAGTGTGATTTTTGTTTAAAGGATACAATATTAATAATGCAGTAAACTTTGATCTTATTTTTTGTAATCATTACCTGAATAAAATCAAATTACCTGACAATTTAATGTAATTAACGAAAACTTCTGAAAATACTTCATTCAAATTAAACTATTTTGGAAAAATTATAACATTTAATTCAATTGAGAACAAAATGTTTAAAAATGTATTCTTTTCACATACTTAGGACTCTGAAATATTGTAGAAAAATAAAATATGTACTTTTATACGTGTATTTATGACACAATTACAAAATATTTACCTCCGATCATGTCCAAAACCTATTTATCTTAACAGCAAGGCACGACATGTTTTGGCCTCCGTGAGAGGTGCACCACTACTTCAAGGCAGTGCATGGGGAAAACTAGTTAAAGAGCCTCCCCTCTTATTTTCTACCTCCATGTATTGACTCGTATTCAAATTGGCCATTCCTGAGTCGCTCAAAATTATCTTCTAAAAGTGGAGTTTGAGCCAATTTATTTCAACAGTGGTAGTATTCTATCTGTGTATCATTTTTTAATAGAGTGCCTGAATTTTAACGACTTGGATTAAAGCATTTTAAGGAGAGTGACTTGCCTCTTAATCTTGAAAGAGGTCAATACTTATTTATTTCAATACCTGAAAGAAATTAGTCATTATTTATTTATTGTGATTTAGTTTGTTTATATTTTATTATAGTGTATTTTTAATGTGTCCCATCTTTTGATAGAAATCATTATCTGAATTTTATATACTTATTCACCTAAATGATCATTACCTTATTACTTCATTTGATTCATAAGCTAGCCATTTGCTGTTTTAAATTTATGGTTCATGATAACTTGTGTTGATATGCAAGTTGTTTCAATATAACAAATTGTGTGTCTGGCACATATGACCTTTCTGGTAATGTACCAGGAACTCCACAACTACCACTGCTACTGTCATTCTGAGCCCCAAAATGTGTAAATTGTAAAAATAGTTCAGATGGAATGGGAGTAATAAACAGATATGCTCCTGATGGGCATTGGCAGCATTTGGCTATTTCTTGACAACTCAGCAGCTTTTGGGAAGATTTGGCAAAACATGCTTCTGAAGCCCTATTACTGATTCTTTCCAAAGCTTCCAAAAGCTTGTCCTATATATAAATCCTATCTCAGAGTTTGGTGGATTGATAGTTATTCAACTGCAAGGGCTAGTGGTTAGCTGAATTGCGATTTGCAGTTTACTCTGTAATTAGTTTTGGGAACCTAACAATATTTTTCATGCATTAAGGGGGAATTTCCTAATATCCATATTTTTTTTAGTTATTTATTTCTATTCATTGTGTTGTATTTCATGAATTTTTATAATACATTGTCGCCTTCTTCCTTTTTTTTTTTTTTATTATCTAGAGTGAGTATTTAGAGATATCGATGAATGTGTAGCCCACAACAGTAATTAAAAAAGTTTATTATTTAAGCTGAAATACTATTGTATGTGCAGTATTTTTTTTATAGTTCAAATATGCAAAGACTGAAAGAGGAAAAAAAGTGATTTCTGTAAAAACTATTAAGTTTTACATAACAAATTAATTTTTGATTTGAAAGATAAGTCTTATAGTTTAAATTTACAAACACTCAAAAGGGAATAAAGTAATTTCTATAAGAGCTGTTTTACATAAAAAAATTAAGTTTTGTTTAAAAGGTAAGTCTTAAAATGACTTAATTAGGACCTTTAAAAAATCTTTTTATTCCAATTAAATCATTCTAAGGTTTTATGTTTGAATATTAGCGTCTTGCAATTAAAAAATTTGAAACTACTTTCCTGTTTATTTTTTAACAATGAAGATTGTCTTTGTTTTCCAGAGGTCCAGTGTCATGATGTATCTGATAGTGATACATCAGACAATGAATTACAGTCTCCATTTAGTCCTGATGAAGAATGTTATGAAAAAAGATCAACTGTTGAAAGGAAGCCTGCTCGTGAAAAGATATTTGATACAGCTGTTCCCCACACCGAGCTGCTAGATACTAGTGCAGCAAAAGCCAAAGCTGAACTAGCAAATAAGGGTAGCCTTGCTAATCGTCAACCACCTTCTATTAAAAAACAATCCATACTAGATTCAGTATGTATTTATACAGATCTTTAAATTTTTTAATGCAAATATTAGTCAAATAGACCTGCAGTAACAAATTTATCTGTGTCTAATTAGAAAAATTTTCTTTACTATTGCAGCCTTCTGATAAATCTGAAGCTTATGATATATTCATCAATACAAGTACAAGTGCAAATATGTTGTAAGTATATGTAAATTGTTCAGTTTTATGACTATCACACATTTCATTAAATCAGATGTTAAGTGAGTATTTCGTCGTACTACTTGATGCTTAGACCTTGTGAATATAAGTTTTTTAAGAAATTATTGTGCATAATTTTTAGTATATATATTTTTGTACTATTGTACACTGGCAGGAAAAATTAAAGTAGCAACTGTTTAAAGATGCTTTACATTAATTATATTAAGTCCAATGAAAGATGGTTGATTGGTAGCTCAAAATCAGTATTATCATGTAATCCAATGAGATTCACATTCACTGCATAGAAACAAACAAATTTTTGCGTCTATTCTTTTGACATGTGGGAAAAAGCCAAGTGAGTGTTTAAAATTCTAATTCCAAGGATTATGCAAGAAGTTGGATCAATCAAAATCGTAAAAACAACCTTGTATTTAGCGTAGGTATGATGAAACAATCGATTTCGAGGGCAGCTAAAGGTCCCTCCTCATCAGGAGAAAGAAATACCTAGAAAGAAGAAAATAAAGGAGAAGGAGTCTCAGAAACACGTGGTCCTTATCAGCACTGCACGTGGTTAGTTATAACCATGAGGATGAGGAGGGACCTTTAGCTGCCCTCAAAATCAATTGAGTGTTTTATTATACCTATGCTAAATACAAGGTAGTTTTTACGATTTTGATTGTCACATTAGCGTGTTTCTCTTCTAGTTCTAGTCTAAGTTGGATCAAATTTTCACATGTGTCACAAAATTTCACATTTTGTTCGGAAGGCATTTGACAGATTCTGAAATATGGCATGTAATTAAGAGAATGGAAACAGGACAAACACTAGTCTGTAAAAACATAAAAAGTAGCATAAAAGTGTCTGTTCAGAAATTTGGACACAGCTTAAAGACACCAGTGATGCATGCAAACAACTAGGTGAAGGCAGAAAATGTGCCACAACAGGCTCTTAAGACTGTTATGGGGAAGTAGTTATTAAAAGATGTAGGCAATTGACATGTTTGTAAGGGAGTTTGCTTCAGCGGCAGGAGCTTGATTATGCAGATGTACCATAAATGTCAGGTTATGTAAAAGAGGGTTATGTGGAAGGAAATCCACACAACCCTCTTTTACCCTTTTTACCTCAACCTATATTAAAGTTTGGACAAAGCAAAACACAATAAAGTATATGTACACAGTAAGCCTCTGAAAATTATCTGTGAAATGGGTCACAACCGACTTGCACATTTTTTCCAACATGACATGAGGTGCATCATCCATATGCCAAGTTGCTTAGGAGTGCAATTGGTAGTAATTTCCCCCTAATGGATGATAATGCTTGTCTCATTATGTCAACTTGAACAATCTTGAAACACTGACTATCTTGAAAGTGAACAAATCCACTGGATGGAGTGGCCCATGTATTCTATAGATATAAATTCACTAGAATATTTATAGAATGTATTAGAACATCGACTTACATAACTGCAGCCCTCACTAGCACTCTCCAGGAATGCTGTTCATCATGAATACACTTCATTCCTGCAAACGACTCCTAGCCAATATACAGCATGAAAATCACCGTAAAGCTTGCTTTTTGGTTAAGGATATCTCTCCCACTTTATTAATTTTTAATGTATTTCTAAATGATGTGACATCAGTTTTTCCCCTACCCATTTGATATCATATCTTTATTTAAGTCCCCGCCTCTCAGAAACAGCTATCGGTATTGTATAATGTACAGGCGCGGTGAGATAGCTTTACCACAAAGCAGGTTTAGGGTTGCCACATTTGGCGAGAAATCACCCATTTGGCGACAAAATTGGCGATATGCCATGGACGGATGGAGAACCTTCTGGAACAAATTCTTACCGGTTTAGCCCAGAATGTTCCCGAACCCAAGGCGAAAGCTATATAAACCCTGCTGGTCCGCAGTCAGTTAGTGTGTGTGCCTCATCTAGCGAGCTGATAGTCAGTCATAGTGAGTGTCTCGAAGTCTAGCATCGAGTTGGTTGTCGAGTGCATTGAGAGAGTCTTTTAGTGCATCGTCGAGCTTTGTCTTAGACTGTGCTGAGTCAAGGGCTATACTCTTGTGTATCATCGAGTACATCACGTTGAGAGTCTCGAGAGTATGTGGAGTTCCGAGAATGACCAAGCAGAGTTGGGAGCTGTACTCGGGCTCTTTGCAGTGAAGCTGTCTCCACCGTTATTGCCTGACAGTGTGAAGGCTGTGTCGCTGAACATGGCAGCGTGTTTATACCAGTTCGGCGAGTGTAAAAGTGATTTTGGAGCTATCTGATTAATATTGGTAAATAAAGTGTGTTTCGATACTTTATCAAGTGTCGTCATTATTCACTCCAAATCTACGAACCCCATATGAACTGGTGTCAGAAGAAAAGTAACGTAACAGTATTTTGAAGATGTGCCAAGCATGGAGGTAGGAAAGGGAGGAGGGGCCAACCCGCGCTAAAAATGAAGCACTGCTTTGAAGCTTGGGTCACCAGATGGGGTGTTCTTTGTTTACATTCAGAAGTTCGCTTGACAAGATTCTGATAGTATTTCGACACACGACAGTTCCATAGAAATTGAAAAAGGGACACTTTCGCATGAAAGAAACATTCATAGTGTGATGGATAATAGCAATTTGTATAGTTTAATGACATTTACACAAAAATCACATCTTGGTTATTTTTTGATAACTAACAACAGCGATTTTGATTATGAATTTTTTTTTATAACATGCCGGAAATGAAAAATAGGAAATATGTATGGGTATTTATGCCATGTGCTTGCAAAAAGCATGTATCTGCCTTTGACAAAATATTTAAAAATTCATTAAATTATTTATAAATGTATTTGAAATGAAGAATTTTTTCACTTATAAACAACTGTGAAAGTACTGTGAAGAAATCTAATTATTAAATGTATCTAATTTATAATGATTATAAATGTTATCTAAATATATAATAACCTTAATATTGAATTGTAAACATAAATTGAAATCCTGTTGACAAATACGTTATAAAGCTATTTAAGCAAGAATTGTTCATATAGTATATATCGTATAGTTCGTTCGTAGTTCAATCTGTTAAAAGGTATTGTAAAGCAAATGCTATGAGATGCACACTTAAGAACATAATAAAGAGTTTTGGAATATGTATTGTTGAAATGAAGGGTAAAAGAAAAATCTGATAAGTATAATTAAAAGAATTATTCCCCTTACATTTTTTTAATAACTCATTACAAGTTTTAAATAATACTTCAAAAAAAAAAAAAAACTTATTTATTTTCCCTTTCAGAAATGTTCAGAGAAAGTCAAGTACTATTTAAGTATTTCGCTAATTTTCCTAATAATTCTCTAATTTAAAATGAACCGAATAGAGCATTAATTATAAATTGACTTACATTTTTTCGATTTAAAAGATGCCTCAGAAGCCAAAAAATCATGTCATATTTAAGAAAGTATTTTAGGAAGAAGCTCTATAAATAGAAAAGAAATAATGCATAATTTTAATAAATTAATAATAAATAAACTTTGATCTTAATTTTTGTACCCTTAACCGAATAAAATCAATTACCTTATTTTTTTTTTCCTAATGTAATTAATGAAAACTTGTGAAAATATTTCATTCAAATTAAACCATTCTGAGAAAACTGTCCTGTGAAAAGTATAGCATTTAATTCCTTTCAGAATGAAATGTTGTTTAAAAATATGTTGTTTTCACATACTTAGGACTTTGAAGTGTTGTAGAAAAAGAAAATATATACATTTATATGTATATTTACGACGTAATTACAAAATATTTACATCCGAACGCGTCAAATCCCATTGAACTCAATGGTAAATGACCCAATGTTTTGGTCACCATGTAGGGATCGCCGGTGCTTCAGAGCAGGGTACAGGAGAAACTTGTTTAGGGCGACTCCATCTTACTTCCTACCTCCATGGTGCCAAGCATGACAGGATAAGGATCTTGTGCAAGTTCCATATTCTTAGCTGCAAAATCATTCAAGTTGTTTTGAGTTTTTATAATTGTTCATTTAAATATTTCCTACTGTTATCATTTTATAAAAATTCCTATTGATTGTATAAATATTTTCTTTAAGAACTTAAATTTAACATTTATTGCATTTACGCTTTATATTTTGAATATTTTTATAAGGAATTATGTAAGAAATTTATAAGGAATTTTTTATCTTTATAAAGAATTTTCTCAGAAAATATGAATTAACAATAAATTTTATCAATCAATTAAATTGAATATGTGGAAAATGGGATACATGTGTGGAATAAACATTGAAGGCCAGTTTTGATAAACAGCAAATCACAGGCAAAAGGCTTTTCATTTTTTCATAAAAAATTGTCTATTATTTTGCCGATCATATATTTGTCTTATCCATGAGAAAAGGATGTACATCAGAATAAGAGAAGAATGTAATTTTTTTTTTTTACTAATTTACTTACTACCTTTTCTGTATTGAAATGTTCCACATTTACAGGACTATTATCATATTCAAGATTCTTAATTTTGCATTTGAATTTGAATTTTCATAATTCCCCCCTCCACCTTCTTGGATTTTTAATCATCTTTTACATTCTTTTTCATTGTTATTTATATGAACTTCAAAAATAATTTGGTATATTTTATGATAAATCATTAGCTGCAACAGTTATATCATTATTACTTTCTTCTTCATTTATTTTACCCAATTAAGACTGAACATGAAGATCAACTTCCTTAGAATCATCATCTTATTACCTTAACAAGAACCTCTGAAGTTAAATACATTTTTGCATCTTATTTCAATTAAAAGTAAAATTTTTACAAATTAAAAAAATAATAATAAATAAATTCTATCAAAATATTAAAAATAAACAGGATATAGATATAAAATTGGGAAATAGATGAACATGTAATAAATGTTAAGCTTTTAAAAAGTAACATTTACTGTATTACAAGGATTAATATAATTATGTTTTTGTTTGATAATTGTCAGTTTGACTACATCATTCATTCATTCATAAGGTTGAGTATGACATTTGAAATTGCATTACTGAAAGAAGAAAAAGTATTATGAAAGAAGTTTAAAACTGGCACTAGAATATGAGTTTGCACTAGCACATGTTTACTGGCTCTTGTTTGGCTAGAACTTCATGAATGCAGCATATTAAATTAGCATTTTAAAAAACAAAATTGAACAATATTTGAATCAGATGAAGTAGAATGAGCAAAATCAATCATAAATGATAAACTAACCACGTGCATCATAATAATTATGCTAATATTGATATCTAGATGCATGAAAAAGAAGCATCCATGAATGCAGTAAAAGAAAAGTATATTTTTTGTATCTTATGTTTTAAAAACATTAAATAATGTTAAATTTTAGAATTTATATACACATAATTTGGATATTTTGTATTCTGAAACTTACCTAATTAGAAGAGAAAACTTCAAAATTTTTCTCTTTTGTTAGGTGTAAAAATGTAGTATTTTTGGCAACTTTTGAGAATGTTGCTATTTTGCATAGAAATTGAATATTAGCAATATTTGCTCTTTTAATTATATATACGAGGCGTATTCGGAAACCAAGTACCGTTTTTTTTGGGGGGGGAAATAGTAAATTTTTTTTTTTTTTTTTTTTTTTTTTTTTTTTTTTTTTTTTTTGTTTTTTTTTTTTTTTTTTTTTTTTTTTTTTTTTTTTTTTTTTTCGAATCTAATTTTATTTTTACATGAAAATACATGTCTTAAACTATTTTTCAACATAGTTTCTGCCAATGATCAAACACTTGTCATAGCGGGTGACCAGTTTTTGTATACCATCATCAAAGAAACTTCCCGCCAGTTTCGATAACTTGGACTCCACAGCATTTTTCGTGTAATCTTCAGATCCAAAGCGCTTGCCACCAAGCTCGCGCTTCATGTGCAGGAACAAGTGATAGTCGGATGACACCAAGTCCGGGCTGTACGGCGGGTGATCGAACTGCTCCCAATGAAACTGTGGAATTAACGAAATGAGTGACAACAGCAGTATGGGGCCGAGCATTGTCATGGAGCAACACAATTCCTCTACTGAGCATTCCTCTTCGTTTGTTTTGAATGGCGCACCTTAGTTTTGTTAAAGTCTCACAATATCGTGCCGCATTAATGGTTTCACCTCTGGGAAGAAATTCAGTAAGCAAAATGCCTTTCCTATCCCAGAACATAGTGCACATCATTTTTTGTGATGACATTGTCACATTGAACTTTTGTTTTTCGGAGAATGAGTGTGTCTCCACTCCATCGATTGTTGTTTCAAATCTGGTGTCAAATGACACACCCTAGTTTCATCACCTGTCACAATTCGGTTTAAAAAGTTTTCTCCCTCATCACTGTACTGCGTGATAAATGTCAGGGTACTACCAAGTCGCTTTGTTTTGTGAACATCAGTGAGCATTTTTGGAACCCATCGGGAACACAGTTTGCGATAATTTAAGCGGTCAGACACAATTTTGAACAAAACAGTACATGAAATTTGTGCAAATGCCTCTGAAAGAGTTGTCATTGTGAAGCGTCTGTTCTCATGAATTGCTTCATCAACTTTCCTTACCAAATCATCGGTGACAACAGAAGGCCGACCACTCCGAGCCTCGGCGTGGACATTTGTTCGACCTGCATTAAACATTCTTACCCACTTTCTCACCATTCCATCACTTATCGCGTATTCACCGTAAACTTCTGTCACTTGACGATAAATTTCGGCCGGTTTAACATTCCTCGCGTTCAAAAATTTAATCACGGCACGAATCTCACAGTCAGTGGGAGAACTAATTGTCTTAAACATTTTGAATGTGCACAGCAAACTGAAAACACAACATAGAGCAACCAAAATGGCGACAACTGAAAGTCAGTGTACAAGAAAGACTAGTGCGCATGCACGGGATGCCTACCACAGCGCTAGAATGAAATGGTACTTAGTTTCCGAATACGCTACGTATATTAAAAAATTAACACTCCTTTTCCCTCCTCTTTAAATAGGACACAGAATGAAGGATGGTTTTCAAATTCAGATGATACATCTTTTGGAGATTCTCATTTCTCTCAGTGTGACTTGGAAGGAGATATGTCATGTACATCTCCACCATTAACACTTCTTGAAGAAATGAAAGCTGCTGTTGCAGCACGTCAAGCGCGAAGTAAGTCATTTTTATCTATTTTGTTGGATAAAATCCTTATATCTGGAAAATAAATTCTTGAGAATTTTGAAAGTTATTATAGGAAAATTCTTAGAAGTGCAAGTAATTTTAAAACAGTATTATGAAATATTACAATCTGAAATTAAATTTAAAAACATACAGTGAATTAAAATTGTATGAACAGAATGGGAGAGTAGCAGAGGGTTACACTTTGAAGGAGATGTGTTGTTGTTATTTAAACATATAAAATCCTACTTACCATTTTATTAGCATGGAAAGTCATTTTGTAAGAAACAAATGTCCCGAAAGACATCAGAAATATCAGCTTTCTGTTTTTTCCATTTTAATAGAAATTGAAATTTGCAAAATAGCTTGCTCAATAACAGATCTGAGTGTTTCTACAGAGATGTTTAAGATACAGTGCATAATGATAGCTTTCACTTCCATGGAATTCTAAGTTTTGTGGTTGACCAGCGACCGAGTGGTAAAGTCACTGAACACTGGTAGCTCAGTCCAAGATTCAAATCCCACGAATATGCTTGGCTGCATATATGTTTTCGTAGTTTTACCTGTGCATGTATATGAGCCAGCTTTCCTTAGAAAGTCTTCCGCAAAAGCATTCCTCCCTTTAGACAGTTAACCGGAGTGCTTTGTGATAATCAAATGAACCAAACCAACCAAGGTTTTGCAGTAAATATAACATTTTTTAGTTGTTCCCAGAACCAGAAATGATATAGGTTCAGATCTAGTGAATATGCAGGCCATATTACTGTTAGTTAGTGTTTTATTATTCTTTCATTTCCAAAACTGAAAAAGAAATTCTTGTGCCTTTGGTGTACCAATGTGCCTTGGAACCCAGCTTGCATGAAAATAGTAGCATTTGGGCACTGATGCTTATGCAGTGCTAATAGAATGCTGTTAACCATTAATACCATTAAGATTAATATTGTTAACCGTTTCCAAAATGGGTGACAAGGTTTTTAAGATAGACTTTTTCATAAAAGAAAGAGCAGTCAAAAGTGCTGCTGTAAATGTTTGCCACACAAGGTGCTTTATGAGGATGTGGATTTTCTGTGATATATATTCTGTAGTTTTGCATATTAATAGCACCATCATAGAAATGTGATTCTACAGTCGACATAATTTTCCATAGCCATTCATCAGAGATTTCTCTTTCAACAAGAAATTGAAATACAAGCATTTCTTGTCCAGAAGGTAATAATTCTTGATCAGGGATAATTTCATAACGATAATATTGTAGGAAAGGTTTCAAAACTTTTTGTTCTGTCCTCAAAGTTTTGATGATGGGCAAATGCTTTGGTAGATCTGAACATCATTATAAAAATGCTGCATTTTCTTAGCTCTGGCATTGAATGATTTTACTCTCCTGCCAGGCTTTTGACGTCTAAAGAACTAATCTTTTCAAATTTTGAAATAATTTTATGTAAGCATTTTGCAAGCATTAGACCAAACTTTAATTTCATTAACATTCTAAATGCTTTTTTAAACAAGAAGTTCTCTTTTCATGAAAGAAAATTACAAAAGAATTATAATCTTTTAACATTACGACAGAACAATCTAGACTTTTCATAAATAACAGGAAGCACCATTCTGTAAATACTCTTTTCTTTTTTCCCTTTTTCTTTCGTTCTTTTTACCTTAAAAAAAAAAAAAAAAGTCATCTGCACATATCACATTAGAATTTGCATCTTTTTATACAGCAAATCTTTTTACTATTTTTTTTTTCTTTCACCGAATTAAATATCATTGCTATTGCTCAAGAAAAATTTGAAGTTATTTTGAAGAGTGATTCTTATTTCAGGGATGAACTTTTTAAATTTCATTATGTTATTCTTTACATTTTCTGCTATTTCTTAATACCAGTGGTATTTGAATATCTTTAGTAACTGCTATTAAAGAATTGTACTATTTATGCGTTTGTTTTTGTTTCAGTTTTGAGTAGGAGAAGAAACTCCTAATACATTTTAACTACTAGTTCATTGAATTGGATTGGATTTAATTTGGGCAAAACATATGAAGGCTAGTTGCCTAACTTGCTAGTTAAGAAACAATTGCATTAATTTATACAGTTGTTGCATGCTACAGGTTTGTAATGGATTGAATGCATACGAAAAAGATGATAGCATGATAAAATTTATTTTCCCAAAAGAAACACTTTACAGTTCTGGGACTTTCCATGAAAGTACTCATACAGCTCTTCTGAGTATAACAGAACATTCAGTAGTCACCATTTAAACTACGAAAAATGTTAAACATAACGGAATGAAAAGCACATTTAAATAGTGAAGCTTGCAATACCCCAAAGTCAACTCTGAGAGCTCTCAGTTTTTTAGTTCAGAGTTGACTGTAAAGGTTTCATGTACTTTTCTCCGAGCCGCTGTGAAATCTCTAGCACCTTCCATTTCTTGAAATTAATAGAAAGCTAATACGTTAACAGTTACACATAGTACTAATAATACTCATGTCCAAAATTATGTTTACATGCATGAATTCACGGATTTCTCAGAGACTATGACTTATAATTTAATGAATTTTCGTGGAATCATACATAACATGATGACACATAAATGCAAAAGAAAAAAATTGAAGATCACCTCATATGATATAAAATTGTAGCATGAAACAATAAAAATGGTAATAAAGTGTGACAAAGAGAGTTAAGAAAAAAAGGAATGATTCAGAAAAAGAATTAAGTCTTACGAATTTAATATGGAATATGATCTCCCCTGACTTGTACACACATATCACAACGTGTTTTAAGGCTGGAAATAACGTTGTTAACCACAGTTGGGGAATTAATCTCCACTCTTCCAGCAATGCCGTCTTCAGAGCATTTACATCTCTAGGAGGAGGATGTATACGTGCAATTGCTCTTCCAAGGTAGTCCCATAAGTTCTCTATCGGGTTAAGGTCAGGAGAGTTTGGTGGCCAAGGTATTCGCTTAATGCCTTCACTTTCAAGGAATTCATCAACGAGGTTTGCTTGATGTGGACGGGCATTATCATCCATAAATAAAAAGTCAGGTCCATATGCACCCCTGAAAAGTCGTACATAAGGATCTAAGACCTCATCTCGATATATCTGGCCTGTCACAGATCCGCTGCTGAACACGTGTAGGGGCGTACATCCATCGATCATTATTCCACCCCATACCATCGCACCTCCACTACCGAAACGGTCACGGCCCACCAGCGGCCGAGCGGTAAAGTCGCTGAATACTGGTAGTTCGGTCCGAGGTTCGAATCCCACGAACGGGCTGGCTGCATGGGTGCTTTCGTGGTTTTCCCCATGTGTAACGTGTATATGAGCCAGTTTCCCTTAAAAAGTTCTCCACGAAGGCATCCCTTCCCTTAGGCAGATAGCCCTAGTGTGCTTTGCCATAATTAAATACACCAACACACACACCGAAATGGTCACGTTCCACAATGTTCGAGGGATCATTTCGTGTTCCTGACTCCTTCCAGATGTAAACATGTTTAGAATCACCAGTTAAACTAAACCGCAACTCATCAGTAAAGAGAACATGGGGCCATTGATGTTCAGTCCAGTTTTGATGTTCTTTACACCAATTAAAGCGATCCCTCTTTTTCTGTGAAGACAGTAAAACACATACCCTTGGCTTTCTGGCATAAAGGCCTTTTTCATTAAGCCTTCTGTATATTGTTTGCTGTGATGCAACTGCAACAGTTCCAGTGGCGGCTGCAAGCTCTGAACTTAACTGGCGAGCAGTAGCCTTTCTGTTACGACGGGCAGTTAATGCCAGATACCGATCTTCAGAAGCAGTTGTCATTCGTTTCCAACCTTGTCCAGGCCTCCTTACAACACTTCCATCATTTTGAAACTGTTTCCATAGCTTAGAGACTGTCTGTCTTGAAATATTCAGACATGTGGCTGTTTCCATGATTGACTGCCCTGGCTTCTAAAACGGCCGATAATTCGCCACTTTACAGATTCTTCCAAATGATACTTCGAAGCCATAACAAACCGCTTTGAGTCCCTACACACTGAAATCAAACGCTATGTTGCAGAAATTCACTCAAATATTCAGTTTGCACAAAGCGTTTGATTCACCCTTGGATGACGTAATGCCTAGATTTGCATATCACAAACCGTTTGATTACTTTTGATTGGATAATGCTAATTAGGCTTGGTTTTCACACATTCCCTGCAAATGCGGATCACATTGATTCGATATTTCATTGAATATCATCATTTTTGGGTATGTAAAGATAATTTTGGACATACAGAGACTGAACAAAAATGCCACTAAATTGGCCTTAAGTTTGCGGACTTTTGGTGATTTGTTGCCATATTGCCGACAAAAATTAGTCATCAAACCCATTGCCAGCATGGCAATATCTTGCCAATTTATCAAGATAGGCATTTACCTCAATCTTAGATAGATTTGCTCCTGTAATTTTATTTTTCTGGCAGAGCTCTATCTCTTCAGAGGTTTCATATTATGTTATACAAAAGATACTACAATTTCACATATAATTTTAATAGAATTATTTACATATAGACAAAATTTGTAACACAATCATTATTAATTAAATTCTTCATTTAAAAATGTATTACTGAAGTATGAAATATTCTGTAAAATGGACTTAAAGATTGAATCTAGAGTTATAAAATTTAATAAAATATTTTTACTAATGTATGGTATTTTATAGTCAATCAAAGTGCTTCTTCTGATGAATATTTTGAGTCAGAAGAGAAACCTCAAGTTACAGAATTTCCTGTTACACTGTCAAATGATGTGACATCTCAATCTTCCATTGAAAGCTGTAACAAAGATGTATCTCATTCCCGAAGTTCATTATGTTCAACTTCTAGTCAACTGAATGCGTCTGCCACAATTCAGGCACATTCTCCCGATGTTTCTTATTCTGAGCATTCTGTTTCTGCCAACAATGCTGGTATGTATTTTCTTTTTTGTGTATTTATAATTAATTTATAGTTAAATGTGCTTCTCAATAATTTAGTTACATATATTTCTTCTGAGTTGTTATGATTTCAAAGTATAAATATAAGTGTAAAGTATAAAATAGTTATTTTTTGTAATTAAACAGTATATAATAAATTAAAGCAAACTCTGAAGATTATTAGAAGTAGCTAATTATGTTTACAGGACTATTAAAAAGTATCTGTTAAAAATATGAAGGAAAATAGAGTTGGCTGAAATAAGCAGATTTTTATATAGAACATACGTGGGAAAATGGTGCATTGAAGCAGTATAGGGTGCTGTTGAACAGTAGATAAAAATTTTATATTTAAATAATATTCATTATAGAGATAAATTCATTATATGTAATATATATATATATATATATATATATAATTCATTATATATAAATTATATCTATCTAATATAAAATTTATATATAAATTTATATATAAATTATATCTATCTAAAATTTTATATTAGATATAATTTATATATGAGGAATTTATTCTACTGGGCATCATTCCTCTTTCGGACTTTGAGTGGTCTGCACTGCTACGTGGTGGCAGAACTTCCTGATATGCCTTTGATATAGGAAGCTGCAAATGGAAAGGGGTAACTATTCAAAAGAAGTGTTTGGAAATCATTCTGTATACCTACTTTGAGTAAAATATGTAAAACTTAAAAGTCTTAGGAGTTCAGAGCAGGAGAAGGGAAAAGTACAAGAAATTCATATAGTATATATATAGTGCATCTACAAAGTTTTTAGGGACTAAATTTATTCAAAATTGGAAGTTGACTTACTGCCTAATTTACTAATATTTAAATGTGTTTTTAGTAAGTCAACCTAGAACATTTTATAAGTTTTATGTTTTAATATTTCCCTATAAATTGCCTCAATCCAGAGTTTGAGTTTAGTGTTTATGTCAAAGTTTTTTATTTCGACATCAAGCTATCATTTGGAAAAATCTTCAATAGTGAGAGAGCTGTTGCCCCCTCTTTTTTTTTTTTTTTTTTTTTTTTAGAAACTAGGCCAGGCAATTTTGGAAGTAACAAGGGGGTTCTATTCTTCAAGGAAAGCAATCCTTATCCTCTGGCAATAATTAAAGAATTTATAATGGGGGAAGAAGGAAAACTTCCATGATACACCAATGTCTCGGAGATGGAAACAGGTAGTACAAACAATGAACTTTATGAGCAGAAAGAGAAGTTACGAAATTCATCTACGTTTGTTAGTTGAAACATCCAACAATGTTGGAGAACCTATTACAGTGCCACATTAAACAGTTTAAGACATTTATTAGGGGCTTCTATTTAAGTGTCAAAGTTGGTCGTCATGCAATTTTGCATAATTCACCTGTGATCCTGGGTACATAAAAAGTACATAAAAATTTTTAATTGTTATTCCATTTAATGCTAGAAGTATTTTTCAGTTGACAGCATTGTTTAAAATCCCTTCAATTGACATGAATGTAATAAATATTTATATACAATGAATGATTAAATTATTTTTTAAATGAAACATAATTTTAATTGGAACTTTCTATTTTAAAGTTTTAATTCACACAATTTAATTACTCATAAATATTTGGGAGTATCACTGTGCCAAAGTTCCTTAAGCAAATCAGATTCTTTGCCATACTTTAGGCATTGGTAGCTGCCCATATATCCAAAAATCAAACTTCATCATATTCAACATAATAATAATGTTAGCCACAAAATGGACAATCTTAGAAACCTTCCTTTCTTACAAGTGCAAAATAACAGCTTGTAAAAGAAAAAGTTCCATGTTACTCCTACCTTAAAACAAGATTTATACGGTCCTTAGATTTTTTTTTTTTTTTTTTTTTGGAAAGGATTTTTGGTCCTTAAAGTCGTCAATTTTACTCATGTGACATCTCTGTTTTTTCACAACTGATAATTTGAGTGGGAATTAGCATTTTGAAGAAATATTTTTTGGAGATTTATTCACAAATATGTATTTAATGGGTTATCATTGGAATTTGTTCCTACTTCTAATATAACAGTGCGATACTTGAGTTTTGGGGACAGAAGTGAAACATAAACATTTCAGAATTATATATTTTTTTGTGAATGATGAGTTCATGAAATATTACATCAAAAGCAACTGATAACAGCAATTCAGAGAGAAATGAAAATGTGACTGAACTGTGAATTCTTTTATTACAAAGTTCTAAATTTGGTGACTTAATCAACATTTTGGCTTTTTTAAGATCAGTTTATATACAAAATTTTTTATATTGGGATTTGTGAATTTGTTCATAATTTTATTTATATAAATATAATAAGATTGGGTACTATTCGGTTTAGAGGGCCGTAAAAAAATTGCACCGAAAATGTATGCACGAAAGCGCCAAAACTAGCAAACACACCCATTTAACAGCGTGCTAAATCACGTGTACGCGCTGATTTCAGATTGCGTAAGTTTATATAGTTCTACATTTCTTAAGACGCCATTGAAATACTAGTTTAATTTTAAATTCTTTTTGATTTTAAATTCTTTTTTGATATCCTATGGATTTAACAATTTGGGAATCGCCCATGACAAAAAGTCGGCAATAGAATTTTGGGGACGCGTTTTTAAGAATTGCACATACTCGGTATCCATGTGCACATCGACCTATTTTCACTTAAAATAATATCCTAGAATTGCACAAAAATGGCACTGCGCACACCCTTGACTTTGTCAACGTACACATCGACCTATTTTCACTTAAAAAGTAAAAGAAAATTGACAAAATTCCAATTGTTTTTACCCTTGTAAAAAGCGGCAAAGAAATAAGCGGGCAATTCTGCACTTTACCGAAAATGTTTTCAAAGAAAAAGCATCATTCATTATAGAAAATTACGTTTGAACAACCAACGAGATAACATTGTGCTTTAACGATAACTCGGTAGTGAAATATTATATGAAATTAACCTTTCATCCAAATTAAAACATCAATATTTAGATAGTTATTTACTATTACACTTCATTTCTTGCGTTAGGGTTGCCGCAATTACTTTTGGCAGCACTGGCATCAACAATAGTTTGGTGATTTTTTACGGCCCTCGAAACCGAATAGTACCTAAGATTGGTAAATATAATTAAAATAATGGTAATACAGTATAAAGTCCGTAGCCCGGATCTCAAAGCCACAAACGTACGCATGTGCGTTTGACGCGTGCATCCGCTACGCATGTATGTAAAGCTAGTAAAGTGTTTACCCATGAGCACTTCCAATAGTGAAGAAAGTAACAGAGAACGTTATTGTGAAAACGAACGAATTTCAATTCACAAGTTAGTCGGTATTCTCGACACAGCAATTACAGGACTTGAACAGTGGAACTTTGTAACTGAACAAGAAATTATGTCTGTTTATAGAGTTAAAGAGAAAGTATTAGCATAAAAAAACGAAGCAACTTAAACAACTTACATTGATAGAAATGTTTACTAAAGTAAACAAATAAATATTAAGCTCTTTTTTTTTTTTTTTTTTTTTTTTTTTTTTTGTAAATTTTGACACCCTTTAGATCATGATTGCTCTTTATTTCGTAAATTACGGTTTCATATTGTCCACGTTTTATGCATTCTAATTTGTGTAATGGCTCAGTAATTGAATAAGTTAATCATGCTTTATTATTTTAAAAGCAAAATTATAAAATAGACAATAAAATTATGTGAAAATTTTCATATCTCATTCATTTCTGATTAAAGTTTTTTTTTTTTTTTTTTTTTTTTAAGTAACAGATAGTTTAGCTTCCTTACTTTCGACTGAAAGTGGTTCCTCAGAAACTGCAACACAAGTATCTAATCCAGAGCCTACGCCTCAGGTATACGTAAGTATAATAATATTAATATCTGATTTCATATTTTTAATTTAACTGCATTACTGGAATGCAGTTTTAGGTTACAACTAAATTTTCCCCAAATCTTCCAATTTTAGCATTATGGTCTTTCAGCTAATTTATTAGGAGATAATATAATCAATATTCTTTTAGTAAATAAATTATATATATATATATATATATATATTAAAAAAATTAAAGAATACAGACATCAAATAAATCATTTGATTCATCCATCTTCCAACAAACACACCAAATTAATCCAAGCAAATTACAGGTCATTGTTTCAAACGTGTTGCGTTTGACAACGCAACATTCTGGCTAAGATAATAAGCTTCTTCACATTCTGGCTAAGATACCAAATTAATAGTAGTAGTGCTTGTCTCTGTATTCAAATGATTAGTTCAAATGTGTGCAGACGCGCATTTGAAATCGAATTTAAAAAAAAAATTAAACCCCGCCCAAATCGAAGTCCAAATTATATTAATTTTCAAATAGAACCCTAATTGAAGTCCAAAGAGAACCAACCCTTATGTATTTGTCCAAATCATATTAAAAATTTTTTGAAGTCCAAAGAGAACCCTAATGCATTTAAAATCGTTTAAAAAAATGGCGGCACCAACGAATGGAATCCAATCTGTGACCAGAACCCAAAGTCGTCAAGAGACAATACAAAAGCCGCTGTAGTCTGCATAGAAATACTTACTGTGTAATCTCTTAACATCAGAGACCTTTTTCTATGTTTTCAGTCATACAAATGCAAACATTTTGCTGCTCAATTTGTATATACAGCCTCAAAATATTTTTCCCAGTTTTTATGTAAAATTTCTTGGTGAATTTTTGCCGTATGGAAACTGAAATTTTTTGTGCTTTATTTTTTGTGTTGAGTACAGTATTTCCCTAAATATAAATATAGGGATCCAGAGGAACGTGTAACGTATTAACTTTCATATTTTATACAAAATTAATTTTTTGAATTTTTGTAATTGGAAGTATATTTTTATGACCAATGATAGTGAAAATAAAGGTCAGGTGGTGTATGGCTGTCTGATATAATTTACAATATATATATATATATATATATATATAATATATAAAAAATTATACCAACTGTGTGATTAACCGAAATTTTTTGTCATGTACTCTGTTACAGTATTCATATTTGCTGACCATATAGCAGTTTGTCATACATTCTAATTTGTACTCCTTTTTAATCTCACAAAAGTAATCTCAAACAACTCCAAACAGTCTCACAAAAAATAAAAAAAGGAGTCAAATTATAAATTCTGAGAGGACAACTAACAGTTGTATTTCGTGAAATTATGCTTTTACCAAACTTTTTTGTAATATGCCAGTAGTGGTGTTATTTAGTACTATGGCATGTATCACCATCCTGTTGGAACCACATGTCCTTCCAAATCTGGCTACAAAAAAATTGTTGTCATGCATTATTTATTGGTATTCTTACCAGTCATTGTAACTTAATCGGTGTTGCTTACCGATCACTGTAACTGCTCCCTTTCCCCCCCTTTTTTTTTGTTTTTGCTGGTGGTGGGAAAGGTCCATTAAATGCTGCTATTCCATATACCGCTTATTACAGTGACCTTTTGCAATTCAAGGTCTTCCTTGTGAACTGTTTTCACACCAAAAATAACAGTTTCGTTTGTTAACATATCATTCAAAATTGACCTGAGCAATCAAATGAGTTTCATCTGAAGAGATAGTTTTTTTTTGCCCAAAATTATGTTCCTGAAGCATTTATTCAGCCATAATGAATTTTCAAAGCATAGTACACAAATAAAAATTAGTGACATTTAAAATATTTTAAACATGGTTGCCATTTCATTTAAAAATCAGATCACTCTTATCACCCTTTATATATGATGAATTATGTTCAAATTCTCTTTAACTATTTTGAAATTATCTGTAAATTTAATCTTTCTTTTTTTAAAAAATTAATTTATTTTATTTTTTATTTAATGTTATACTTTTTATTTATATTTTTATTCATTTATTCATTTATTGAGAATGTGTGGGTATTAAAATCTTACTTCAGTTGCATTCATGGCTTTGTAGGTAGTTTCAGAATATGATTTAAATATAAATTTAGTAAAATAAAAATCTTGAGCTTAACGTAGATTTATGTCAAGATGTCAATTAATTTTTTAAGGGCAAACAGGTGCACATCCCTCTTCATCAGGAGCAAAGAAATCTGCAAAAGTGTCTTGCAAGGTAAATCATGGGCCCCTCGCAAAGTGTGTTGACAGTATGTCAAGAATTTATGGAGGTGGATGAAGGAAGCACATTCTAAATTTCCATTTGGTATACCTATGATTTGGCGAGAGCCCAAATGCAAAATATAATATCCTAGTTTACCATCAGTTATATGCCCAGTGCCAATTTTCAAAGAATTACCCTCTTTGGAAGTGCAGGGGTAGGTGAATATCGAATTGACCCAACAATGAAGATTTTGAAATTGAATATGATTTCATTTATAAGGGATTTGAACAGCATAAGTTGAATAGTTTGGCATGAGATTTTGGATATCTAAAAAGCTTCAGAACTGTTAGCATCAAGACTGCAGGAGAAAAACTCTCTTGAAAAGGTATCCTATGTTTGATCAAGAGGAAGTGCATTTCTGCAATGCTTTGGAAGAGATGATGGATTTATGTGTTGCCACAATGTGCATAGTTTAATGGAAGAGTTGGGAATTTCAGCCTATAATGCAACTCAGTGGGAACTGTTCATCAATAGCTCAAAGCAGAGCTTGAAGTGTGTCCTCCTTCACAATGGAAATTAATTTGATGCAGTCCCAATAGGTCATTCAGTTTTTTTGTGTGAAGAATGTGAAGAATGTGAAGATATAACGAGAGTCATTGATTTGTTGCAATATCACATGCACCAATATATCATCTATGTTGACCTTAAAAATGGTCTGCTTCCTCCTTGGCCAGCAACAATATCCCTGTTCGATCAAGTATCCCTGTTTTTTGTATATGCAGAGTTTGTGAGAAACATTGGGTGCAGTCAAACTGGCTTCCGAGGTCAGACCTGAAACCTAGTGATACAAGCATTTTACATCAGCCACTTGTCAACAAAAAGAACATTATATTTCCACCTCTGCATATAAAATTGAGTCTCATGAAGCAATTTATTAGAGCTTTGCCAGTTGAAGAAGACCATTATATATATATCTCATTTCAGTATTTCATAGTCTGTTGTTTGAAAAAATAAAAGCTGCTTTGTTTGATGGTTTGCAGATTTGGCCGATCCTTAAACATTGACATTCAGAATCATTGTCAAAGACTTTCTTAGAAATACATGAGCAAATTGTTCAGCAAGTTTCAAAATGCATGGTTACAACATGAGCATCAAATTGCATTTTTTACATCGCCCTCTTCATAACTTCCTGGAAAGTTCTGATGCAGTCAGCGATGAGCAGGGTAAGCAATTTCTCCAAGATTTGAAATCATTTAAGCACAGGTATCAAGATATATGAGGTGTATATATGGTGGCTGATTATTGTTTGAGCATCAAGCAAAAATGTCCAGAGATTAAACATCTCATAAAAAGCCATAAAGAAAAAAAAAAAAAAAAAAAGAAAAAAAAAAAAAAAACCTTAATATGTACATTTACCATTTGGTAAAAAAATTTATTTTTTGTATAAACAAAATTTAACTTGCAGTAACTAATTTAGAAGTCAAACAACAAAAATCAGCGTTATATTTTCAAATTTTCACAGGACTAGTTTCAATGGTTTTACCGAACCACCATCGTCAGCTGCAGAAACGCAAATGAAAGAGGTAGGATATAATGATCAGATAAGATAAGAAAGCCTGGGCAGAAAATAAGATAGTGGCGCTGTCTGTTGGTAAAACCAGAACTAAACATAATTTCTTTAAACGCCGAAGGCAAAGATGGATTGGAATTAGGATTGTTAACTAGAACAGAAAGATTTTTTTGAATGTGAAATGCCTCTAGAAAATCCAGTTCTCCAATGGAAGATGTTTTTTGAATAATTTTGGCAGCAGAAAAATTGAAAGTGTGATTTTCAGAACAACAATGTTGGGCAGCAGAAGACTTCTGTGTTTCCTTTTTTCTAACATATGCCTCATGTCTCTTGATGCGAAATTTTAAGGCTCTCTTAGTTTGGCCTATGTAAATTAAACCACACTAGCAAGGAATCCTATAAATACCCCAGGAATTCATATCCGGAATGGAGTTCTTGAGTATGGAACTCGGAATTTTATTGATAGGAGAATAAACGACTGAAATGTTAAATTTCTGCAAAATATTTGCAACTTTATAGCTAATTGATGAAAAGAAGGAAATGACAACAGAATTTTTATAATCTCCTAAAACAAGAGTGTGCCTTTTAGTGTGTTGAGATGAGAATTTTTTAAGGTTTAATTTTGTTTTAGGAGATTATAAAAATTATGTTGTCATTCCCTTCTTTCCATCAATTAGCTATAAAGTTGCACATATTTTGCAGAAATTTAACTTTCGGGTCGTTTAATCTCCTATCAATAAAATAATGAGTTCCATACTCAAGGACCCCATTCCGGATATGAATTCCTGAGGTATTTATAGGATTCCTTGCCAGTGTGGTTTAATTCACATTGGCCAAACTAAGAAAGCCTTATAAAATTTCGCGTCAAGGAACATGAGGCATATGTTAGAAAAAAAGGAAACTCGGAGGTCTTCTGTTGCCCAACATTGTTGGTTCGAAAATCACACTTTCAATTTTTCTGCTGCCAAAATTATTCAAAAAACATCTTCCATTGGAGAACTGGATTTTCTAGAGGCATTTCACATTCAAAAAAATCTTTCTGTTCTATTTAACGATACTAATTTCAATCCATCTTTAAAGAAATTATGTTTAGTTCTGGTTTCACCAACAGATGGCGCCACTAGCTTATTTTCTGTCCAGGCTTTCTTATCATATCTGATCATTATATCCATTCTCCTTCATTTGCATTTCTGCAGCTGACGATGGTGGTTCGGTAAAACCATCAAAACTAGTCCTGTGAAAATTTGAAAATATAACGCTGATTTTTGTTGTTTGACTTCTGAATTAGTATTTGTTCAGCGTGTTATTGTGTCTTAATTGCAGTAACTATATACATAGCCTTTGTATGAATAAAAGTATTCTTTGTTAACAATATGTTTGGTAAGCTTTCCCTTTATTTTCCTTTATATGCATATTTTATATGACTTTTGAGACAAAGTTAGGATATGCTTTAGCTTAAAAGTATTGATGTTATAGACTCCCCCCCCCCAACACACACACACACACAGCAACAGAAACTGAGGTTATTTTTGGATCCAGGGGCTAAAAAATAAGTCAAAAACAAGTGACAGATTTCAGGCAATAAAATTGCCCATTGTTATTGTATGTCAGTTTTTTGTTTTCAGGGAATATTTAACTTATAATTCATTTTAAATCAGGTATAAAAATGTTCCTACAACTGAATGCTTTGTTCCAATTTCCTTTAGCATATGAGAAAAATAATAAAATAAATGTGCTTATGCTTTACACTAGTGACATTTTGCATGTTATTTATTTGTTTTGCATTTTTTTTTTTATTTATTTTTTCCCAGGAAGAACGACAGCCAAATACCTTGCTGTCTGGACCTGCTCACGAGTGGACAGCTGAGCAGGTGGCTTTGTGGTTACAAGCACTTGGATTTGATCATCATGTTCCACAGTTTCTGGATTCAGATATAACTGGCCAAATATTGCTTCAGATTGATAGCTCTCGTTTGAAAGTATGTTAATACATGATCATATGAAGTAGAAATGATCCATGTTAATACAGTACAAAGTCCGAAATCCAGAATGATCTAAAATCTGGTCCTCAAAACCACCAACAGTTTTTTTCGTAGGCTTTACGCATGCGCATTTGATTCCCCCTTCCACGCATAATAAAAATCTGGAGGGTCCTGATTCTTAATTTCACTTCAGTACTAAATAACATACCTTGTTATTGAAGAAATAATAATTTTAGCATAAATTTGTACGATCAGTAGTTTGGCTCTGTTGCTGCATATCTGCTTTGGCACACATTTCAAACTGACACATTATGCATAGATACATCATTGATCTGATGCCAACCTGGCGAATCATCATTTATTATACTTTCCTTTCATCACTGCATGTATATCAAAACATAAACAACTTGAGTAATGACTCATGTAGCGATGCCTAAACAATTTTTTTTGTGAGTAATTGAATAATAAATGAGTATGGTAACCTTTTTATTTGACATTACGCTTGGCGATGATTACAGATTTAATTTAAATGCACTAAAAAATGTTGACGAGGAAAAATTTACCAAAAATTTCTTTTCATATGCCAAAAATAGATTTTGCTTGATGATACCCATAGACCCAAAGATTACATGTAGTATATGTGGGAATTTATTTATTCAGAACTCTGATAAGCCTTAAGCATGTGTAAGAAATAGACATAAGTATACTAAATAACTAAACTAAAACAATTCAGGCTTATTTGTCTCAGTGTGCGATTGAAGCAAGATAAAATTTAAAGGAACAATTTGCCGTTAGTCGCCAAGCTTGTGATGCGTAGCGAAATGTGTATAGCGAAGGATGGCTAAATTTGCTGATGATAACCGCTAATTTTAAAGGTTTTCGGATATCGCAAAACAAAAGTGAAATTTTCCAAAACAGCAGTAAGAGGACTTCAAGATTATGGTTGCCTACAGAATTAAAGAGAAAGTGTTAGCACAAAAAATGAAGCAACTTAAACAACTTACATTGAAAGAAGTGCTTAATAAGGTAAACAAGTAATATTAAGCCCTTTAGATCATAAATACTTCATTATTTCATAAATCTCGATTTCATATTTTTAATTTTGTAATATCTACATGCCATCTTACTAGATTTAAACTGATGATCTAATATCTGAAAAAATGTCAAATCTGGAATTGCCGAGGTCACGACGAGTCCAAATTTTGGACTTTGTACTGTACATGATATTTATTCCTTCATTTGAATTCTGAATTTTACAAATTTTATTGCTGGTGTAGAAAAGGAATGAACTCACCATCTTGTGTCCTTTGAGCTAATAGGTGTCTTAAAATTGTAAATGTAGCAAGAATGAAGAGACCAGAATTTCCTGTGCATTTACTACTGTTAAAAAAATTGCTTAAAGTTCCATCATAATTGCCATCACAAAGTTCACACAAATAAATAACCCATTGCAGTATTGCTATAACTGCAGCTAGTGTCATCTTATTTACGGAATAGCTCTCTAAAGTCATTTTTGAAATATGAAATGCACTGGCTTTGTGTGGAGAATAATATTACATGATCATGATCAGAAATTATTGGTAATTCAAAAACCGAGCAGAGGAAATTTGAAGAAAATCCATACTTTAACTACAAATTACCAGTAGATTTTTCTGCAGTTGAATATTTTAAATTACTAATTGTTTGCAGAGTCAGCCACATTAAATAGTTATAAAAAGGAAATATATATAATAATTTTAATCAGAGCAGGTAGCATAATTTCCAGGTCAGTCTAATAATTAGTAATTAAATAGAGAGGAAAACTGTGATTATTGCTTTTGAATCAATTTGGTAATTAATTTTTAGTATTCACTTAGTTTGGCTTTAGTATAACAGATAGATTAAACTTGAAAGAAAAGTTAAATATTTTATGCTTTTCAGAGTGGCAGTATGCTAGTATGTGGAAGATAAATATATTTCAGGCAGTCGCAACACATTTCTTTTAAATAGTCAAATTTGTTATTTAATTTAAAAGACAATGAATATCTTATGTTTTGCTAAGTGGTATTACATTTCTTTTAAATCTATAGAATTCTGCTGTATGCAGAAGCTTGTTTTAATGTACTGCAAACCCTACTAGACTGGAAGCGAATTATTGCTAGTCTGAAGCAAATTTAAAAGTTTAAAGAAGGTTAAAATAACCTATTTGTTTAACTCCTAAGTGAAGGGAAAGATGCAGCTTGTGTGACAAACAAACCTCCACTACTTGTGGGTATTTAAATCAAAGTAACATAAGGTTAAATTCAAATGTAATTAATATAGTCTGAGGCTATACATTTAATAGACTATGTAAGTTGGCTCAAGATATTTAACAGCATGTATTTTTAATGTCGGCTAGTAAGAGGCTAAAGCCAGAATAAAACTTAAACAGATCTGCCAATAGTAAGTAATGGCAACACAGGGCTGCCAGAAGCTCGAATCTAAACATTCAGAATCTCAGCTTAAATACACAAAACAATTAATAAACATTCTGATGAGGACTATAGAAAGAAGTTATCTCAAAAGTTCTACTCATAATGCCTGCTTAATTATCATAAAATCTTATAAATTACTGAATTTTCAGATTTAATTCGAAGCATATGTATTTTATGATTTCCTGAGTGACAGCACATTGCTTAAGATTTTTTTAATTCACACAAAAAAGGTGCACATGTTCAGGTGGAGGCATTTGCATGCTGAATATCAGGAGAGCGGAATGCTACTGGAATGAACATTAGGAAGCCATTTGAAGATATTGCATAAATGTGGCAATTTTTATACATTTTTATGCTATTGTAGTTAGTAAAATTGCTGAGATTAAGGGATTGTTGGTCTTCAAATCGTGTTCTAGGAAATCACATGATAAATAACTTTATTGCACAAGCACTTTTTTTAAGTCCTACAACATTTCCATGTATTGAATAGAAGCATAGAAAAGAAAAGTTTTGACAATTGTGACATATTTCAAAAAGTATCCTATATGTTTGAAGGCGAAGTTATAATCTGGAATGCATTTCATTTGATAATAAGACTTCTTTGGATGTCATCTGTGTCACACAGCATGATTTCTTGTTGATGATATTCTACAACTGTCTTCCTTTTGATACATCCTTATGGGTCCGGATTTACAAATAAGCTACACAAGGGGTAGGGTTTAGGGCTCCCCTTAGTATAAATAGTTTTAAAATATAGTATAAATAGTATTAAAATATAGTATAAATAGTATTAAAATATAGTATAAATAGTACTAAAATATAGTATAAATAGTATTAAAATATAGTATAAATAGTATTAAAATAATAATAAATAGTATTAAAATATATTATAACAGACTTATAAAGGTCCCCATGTCTCAAATAGCTTAGGGCCCTATCAATTCTAAATCTGGCCCTGCACCCCAGGCTTATATATCTGCAGGATAATAGGTGAGTAAGCACTTTATTAATTTATTCACTGTATATACTTGTATCTCAAACAGAAATTAAAATTTTGTACAGCAGTATAATTTGTAAAAACAGGAGTGGCAATTTTAATCATTTTGTTTTCTATACACATGCACAACATGTATCAAAATTTGTTCTGTTTAGATAATTCTTTAGTGAAATTGGCTGAAATATGGTATAGCAGTGTGAGCGGCATCTAACTTTATTATGCAGGAATTGGATGGGATAAAGACAAATTACAAATGTCAAAAATTTAAAGAAACAAAATGTGTTACCATTTTCAAAATGTAATAAATACAAGGGAGTTTGTAGATTTGTCTGACCAAAAAAGAAAATATTACAGTGTCATTTAAGTGTCTGTTAAATGATGGTATTACATATTTTAGTTTTTATTAAATACTCCTATAAGTGATGTCTTTTTTTTTAATATCAACTAGGAAATTTTCTGCTTCCAAAGCAACCATCGAAATTCAAATTATTATTGATTAAAGAATTAGCAAAAATTTTTCAAGCTGAAAGAGGTGAGCGGTGCTGTGTTTTTTCAATACAAAAAGAGAAAAATTCAAGGAAGGAAAAAGAAGTCTTGTACCATTTATTACAAAGAAAATAGAAAGACTGCCATCTAAGTGCTGTATTGAAAGCTTCCGGGAATGTAAAATTTGCAAAAATTTTTCTGTGCAAAAATTGCTTTAACTAAAACGTCAAAATTAAAAAATTTCACAAAATATTACTTCACCAAAAATAAGCCCTTTTTAGGGCCTTTACTTACAAGGATTGCTTCATTGCTATTATAATTATATATTGTTTTGTGCGTACGGGTTCGTTATGAAATGAATGCACAAGTCTGATGAAAAATGAACAAAATTTATTATTATCACAACAAAAATCCTTAAATTTCCTCAGATAATCGTGCAGTATTACAATATCTCACAGTAGTTATCTTTTAACTACTCAAACGTTCAAGAGAACTTAATTCAAAACAGCTAAAGAAAGCTAATCCGCGAATTCGCTACAGTCAACAAGAGCAGTTTTCTAAACAAACTTTTAAAACAACAACAAACTAAGTAACTACTACGAACTGAGAGGTTTTCCTCCTTTTATAAGATTTCAAAATCGCGCGCGAGAATTTTTCTAGTACTCTCTCGAAATCAAAAAGAGATATTTGTTAAATGTTACATTCACATGCTCTTGTATTTTCAATTTTCTGGCTTAGCTTTCTTTTAATATTCATCACATGCTGCACTGCACGGGGAATAAAAGCAATTTAATTTATAAATACTCCTAACATTAGCTATTTAAATACCAAATCCGTAACACTGCCCCCCTCCCAAGGACTGCACGTCCTGGGCAGTACAATCCTTGGACAGGAAGCCAAACTTACAACTAAGACATAAATGCAGTAATAAAAATTACGTTTCAATAACAAACAACATGAACAATAAATGCAATAACTAAAACAAATCAAATGTTATCAAATACTAAATACAAATCAAATACAAAACAAATACTAAATACACATTTAGAAACAAAAAGGAC